TGAATTCACTGCGTACCTTTCCTCCAAAAAACAGCGAGTCTCAGATGCTCGCTGTAAAACTGCTTTGTCAACTAAAAAACTTTTTCAAAACACTGTTATCACCATAGACAGGGATGACCTTTGCAGCTCAATTTTCTAGGCATATCTAGGCAAATTTAAGGGCTTGCGAGTATAACAATCTTCATTTAATAAGATTTCTGGTGTGCATCCTCACTGAAAGAAGTTCAATCAACACCTCCATAGGTTGCACACTTTTAAAATTCTCACACTTATCAAAAAGCTCCAGAACTTTTAGGAGAGAAATAACAAGGAGGGTATCTTGTGATTGGACAAAGTGTTACTTTCGTCAGCTCCCTGGATTACTTGTGAATCCATTGTCTTTGGGGAAACAGACATTTTTGTTTTTTCAGTTTATACTCCAAGAAAACTCATCTTCTGAATACTCTAAACATCTTCCCTCTCCCTTTTGTTTATTTATTTTGCTTTTGCTTATATTGAGCCAAGCTACTCCCTGGCCTTGTCTCCAAATTTGAGATACTCTGCCTTTGGCCCAGGAATTTGTAGAATTAATTTTATGACTGTGGAGTGTTTTCCAGGTATAACATTCTATACAAGCAAAGCAAAATACTACATGGGACTCCTCAGTCTTTTTTATCTGACAGTCACCCAAGGGATACTGCCTTCACTGGCTTTCATTTATTTAAAATTAAGGTAAATTTTACTATTAAGAAATGGCATGGAATTGGGCCAGCTGCAGTGGTTCATGCCTGGGAGGCTGAAGCTGGTGGATCACCTGAGGTCAGAAGTTTGAGACCAGCCTGACCAACATGGTGAAACCCCAAGTCTACTAAAAATTAAAAAAATTAGCTGGGCATGGTGGAGGGTGCCTGTAGTCCCAGCTACTCAGGAGGCAGGAGAGTCACTTGAACCTGGGAGGCAGAGGTTGCAGTGAGATGAGATCATGTCACTGCACTCCAGCCTGGGCAACAGAGTGAGACTCCATCTCAAAAACAAAAATCAAAAACAAACAAATAAAAAGAAATGTAGTGAAATTATACAATTGTACTAACCTGTTCTGTCTCTCATCTGATCACATAGACATTGAGGGAATGCTATGCTACTGGCATCTAATGTTAGTTTAGACTTAGATGATTCATTGAGAGGAGGCAGTGGGAGTGAAGACAATCCTGGTTATCTTTCAAGCTGGCTGAGCTCAACTTAGCACTTCCAGGACATGAAATCCCTCTGCCATTTCTTAGCAGAGCCACAGCATCCTGGCATAACATGAGCATAACATTGGCCTCAGAGATTCCACCTGATGCTAGGGTAGGATCCCATAGGATGAAGAAAAGAGGTCTGACCTAAAGATGAGGGGAAATGAAGTGAATGTTTTTAACCTCAGCCACGGAATCAGGAACCCAAGCAGAAAGCAGGGGTAAAATGAATCCAAACAATGTCATTCATTCTCAGTTTAAAATAAATTTTAAAAAGAGTTTGCTAAGAACAGAAAGTGTCACCCAGAGTGTTGGACTCAGGCTAGCTGTAGTTTGTGACTGGTCTGACAAAGGCTAGCTCTTACCCAGATGGCCAATAAAAACACTTAACAAGTATCATTTCCATAAGGCTTTGTCTACTTGAAACACAAGCCAATTGTTTGGGTCCAACTTATGAAGCAAGGTCTTACAAAGGTTATGGGGTGAGGAGGCCTGATGACAACTAAATTGCTTTAAATGGAGCTCAAAATACCACCTTAAACATTCTCGTCTCCCAAGAAATGCTTAATCATAAATCAAGCAGTTCAAAACATATTAAAAATGACAAATAGAGTAAGCACTTACATCTCATTTTTTTTCTTTTAATTCACTGACGCATCAAAGATTTCTGAAGGATATTATTACACACAAAAAAGATGAAGTACACCAGGAATGCAAGATTCCAGGGATAAAAGAGGAGATTAAAAATCAAATGGTGGCCCAGACTTAATGCTAAAAATTATTCTGAAAATAGACATATGCACTTTAAGACAAGGAGATGAGGACTGTCTGCTCTGAACTTGTAAGGAGTGGTGAATCTCACAATAATTGGACACATGTTTCTCATCTTTGAAGAACTTATGAATCCATTTTAATGCATTAAAGTTCGTGGGTACTATTTGTCTACAAGTAAGCTTTCTTCTCCCTCTTCCCACTATGCATTCCTTAATGGGGTTTTGATTTAAATGTGGGGGCGGGGAGAATTCCAAAACTCACTAATGTTTTCTGAATTGCCATTTGGCTAACTTTAGAAGGAGTTTTTTAAAATGTGCTAAATGAAACTTTCTGTGCAAGAATCCCTGATATGCCAGTACTTGTAGAAACTAAGTTATTTTTCTATGTCCCTTCTGCTGTATGGAGAAATTAATTCTCAGCAATAAGAATTATTAAGTGTCTAACCCAAGACTCAAATTTGTCCTGACCTGGAATAAATCAGAAAGTGGTTCAGGTAGAAAAGTCCAGTGTGGCAAATCATAACACACCTCCTTAAAGAACACTGTTTCTGAGCACCGGATGACTCTGTGTGAAAGGAAGAGCAAACTCTCGGAACAACTCTGATTTCTCTCTTCCTTGTGATTATAAATACCTAGAGAATTCAACCAATTCTCAAGGCAGTGAGCCTGCCTTTTTTTTTTATAGCCTTTTTTCAGTCTACTTGGAAACATCTGTTTTTAATTGAATTTGGATTTAAAACTAATTTCAGGAGAGATTGGATTCAGGCTCCAATCAAGTTGGAACAGAGAGATTATTGCTTATACACATATCCTAAAATTCAGGGAGGCTTGAGGCCAAGGATACCGTACTTCCTGAATGCATGCATGAAGCACATCCATTTAGAAATGAAAAAGGAATGGTCTAATTCTCTTGGGAAAACTTCTTTAAGGCCAATGATTATAGGTTTTAGGTTTCAGCTTCTAGACAGGATTGGATTTTGGGAAAGGTCAGTTAGAGGACAATGCCCTCCCATGCGTTCCATATCTGGAGCAGAAGATTAAGCGTTCATATGATCAAGTTAAAATAGAAACAGAAATTTGGGTTGTTCACTGAAAAGATCATAAATCTACCCTACTCTGTCAATTTGTTTTATTATTATTATTATTATTTGTATAAATTTAAGGGGTAGTTGTGTTACATGAATATATTGCGTAGTGGTAAAGTCAGGCTTTGAAAGAAATGGAAACAACACTATCACATAACCACAATTGTTCTCTGCTAGACTCTCAAGGGCACGAAGACCCTTTCTTCAATTCAGCTGCCCTTCCCCTGATTCCCATCTTACTAGATGGTCGAAGAAGGGGAAATGACTCAAGATTTCCCCTTTGTTCTGTTCTGGGACTCCTGACTGAGCACAGGTGCTCAGCAATCATCCACGCCTTGCTGCTAACTCAGTGTATTCCTAACTGTCTGCCTCAAAGTATTTGATTTTAAATGAGGCTCTTATTTTTCTGCTTCTTAAAAGCAGTGAACTAATTAGTGATCTGTCACAAAGTACTGAAAATCATAAAGAGCTGCTAACGTGCAAGTGGCCATTTTCATTTCCTTTAACGGCTGGGTCCAAAAAATAAAAGTAAAATTCATGCCAAGACTTTTTCAGTAATTATTTGGTACTTTGACAATCCATAAAATAAACCTTGGATTCCTCACTTTGCAATCAGACGGACAGCTTATGCCAATTTTATGAAGCCTATCATAAATATACACCCCTACGTTTCTTGAAACTCAAAGTACCAATGAGTAAAAGAATACAGAGATGTTTCTATCTGACAATATAACTATCATAAATTTTAGTAATATATTAGTCAGGGTTCTCTAGAGGGACAGAACTAATATATATGTGTATATATATGAGATTATATATATATATAAAGGGGAGTTTACGAAGTATTAACTCACATGATCACAAGGTTCCACAATGGGCCATCTGCAGGCTGAGTAGCAAGGAGAGCCAGTTGTTGACGGATTTCCAAAACTGAAGAACTTGGAGTCTGATATTCGAGGGCAGAAAGCATCTGGCATGGGAGAAGGATGTAGGCCTGGGAGCCTAGGCCAGCCTCTCCTTTTCACGTTTTTCTGCCTGCTTTATATTCTAGCCATACTGGCAGCTGATTAGACGGTGCCCACCCAGATTAAGGGTGGTCTGCCTTTCCCAGTCCACTGACTCAAATGTTCATCTCCTTTGGCAACACCCTCACAGACACACCCAGGATCAGTACTCTGTGCCCTTCAATCTAATCAAGTTGACGCTCAGTATTAACTAAGTAAGTTTAGATATTGAGAACTAATAGCACCCTCATATTCATTTCCTACATACAAATGATATATGTAGTTTTAAACATTATTGCCAATTTTCACTAAATTCATTAACCAGTCATTCTAAATGTTTTATTTACCATAAACTATTAATTCATGAAACTCACTTTTATCAACAAAAAGCAAGGCACGAGTTGTCACTTATTAATTCAAAGTATTCGCTGTAGAGATTTTCAGAGATGGCATGGTTTTTCCTTAATATCTGCTGTATAATCTTACTAAAATTTAATATCTAAGATGTATTCATTTCAATGCTTCTAATCTTATCTGCATTTTTTTTAGTTGGAAGAACCAAAGAAACCAAGAAATCTTCATCTGAATTTGATCCTCTGCTAGAATAATAATAATGTAGGAGACTTTGGGAAAGAGAGGGCTTTCCTTATAAATGAATATTTCAAATATAATTTTTAAAATGGCTATAGCATTAGCTATTTACACTTCTTAGAAGATATATATACTTCTTAGGTGATATATTAAGTATCCATATATGTTTATTCTCTAATGACAATCTGATGGCAAAAGATACAAAAAAGTAAAGGAATAAGATTCCAAAACTTCCAATAAGCCAAGGAAGATGATGCAGAAAGTAGGTACTCTTGTGGCGTTTGGCAGCTGGTACCTTTAAAACCATACCAAGTCAGTATGTGCAGTTCCCAGTCATGGCCAATGCAAACAGCAGAAATAAAGTTCCTTCAGCAAATCTTCTTTAGAATGATCAACAGAAGCAAAGATGATAGTAATTGTTATGTTTTCTTCACTATACAATACACAGCTTCACAAATCACCCAAGTTTCAAATTTGTATTTCATTATCATAAATACCTTCTGATTGTAAAAAACAAAAAAAGAAAAAGAAAAGTTTCTTGTATAAATGTTGGAAGATGTGGAAAATACGAAGACTAAAATAATATCCCCCATAATCTCAATATTCAGATAATATTCTGATTCATTTCTTCCTTTTTATGCAGGGTGCATGACTATACACAGTATTCATAATATTTTGTTATATCCCTTTAGATTATAATAATTTTTGCATGTCATTAAAAATTATTTCTCAACATTTTTAAATTGCTTCAGAATATTCCACTGTATTCAGCATTTTGAGTTATCCCCAATCTTATAAATGACACTTTTACAAATTCCTCAGTACCTACATATTTTTCCATCTTTCTGATAATGTCCTTAGAATTGATATCTAGATGTGAAATTCATACTTTTAAGGCTCTTAACACAAGCTGTCAAAATGTCTTCTAGAAAGGCTTTTAAATACCTACTCAGCAGTGTATGCATGTGCAAACAAACCCTATTCTTATCAGCTGTGATTCCTATAATTTCCTTATACTTGCTAATCTGTTGGACTAAAAAGTTGTTATTTTATTTTGCATTTATGTAATTCCTAGAGAAGTTAAATTATTTTTCATGTATTTCTATTTCTTCTTTTTAAATTATCCATGTCTGAGTCTTATGTAAATTTTTATATTTGGCTGTTTTTTCCTTTTGGTTTATGGAAATTCTTATTAACATTCTGTTCTTTTGACATATGTGCTTCCTATCTATTTTGTACATTTCTGTTTTATGCCTATATTTGATGTACAGACATATTAAATATTGATAGTTAATTCTATAAATTTTTTTCCATTTTCCATTTCTTTGAAGATACAAAAGTACCAAGATTTAAACATTTAAAATATTATCGACGTGTGATAACGATGACAATTAGTACCCTTTTAATCATGCAGTCCAGTACTGGATTGGGAGTTAGTAAATGCTAATCTGTGAAGCTGCCTCTTAGGCTCATTTTTAAAGCAATTCTGAAGGAGGGACTATAATAATCTCCCTGAAAAAAGTACTGTTTGCATGAAGCTTCTTTATTCAATGTCTGCAGTGCACTCCCTTGTTGATGACTGGCTTATTTATTCTTTTATATATAACCTTTCATAATACTTCCTTTCAAAATATTGATAAATGTGTGAGAATATTATGACTACATGGAAACTCAAATGAATTAATTAGAGAAAATTCCTCTTTTACTCCCATTAAACATTCAGTAATTCAGTTAGAGTGTTCAGTTGCCAGGACCTGCGGTAAATAAAAGAATATACTATTGGAAATTTGAATAAACCACGGGTGGTTGAAAATTCAGAAAGGTAAAGTACACATGTACAGATTGAGTCCATTCTAGGTTGCAACAATAAAGTATATTAGTTGCAAAGTTCAGGGGAATCATGCCTATTTCACAAGTTGAAGGCAACAACAACATCCGTGCCAAATGCTTTCTATAATGTATTGTGACTTCGCATTATTATGCAAACCCAGGAAAACAGATACAGACTACAATTGCAGCTGATCTAAATTCTGCTGCCTGAACTTTAAGGAGCTTAACAAACAAATAAACAGATTTGATCCAGAATTGATTCCTGTGACTGTGGCTTCCATCTTGTTGGTCCCAAAAGCACTACTCAGAATTCCTAGATCTCTTCCAAAGGTAGACGCAAAGTCATAAGAAGCACTTTTGATTCATCAGAACAAACAGAACAAATAACGTACTTACATTTCTATATAGTTGCAGAAATCGAGATTCCCAAGTAGAAAACCAAAATACATAGCCACAAATAAAGCCTAACATTTCAACTATGCCCACAGTATCCTCAAAGCAGGAACACAAAAAGAGTGACAGTATTAAGGATCAATCTAAACATACATTAGAATCTAAATATTTTAAGGGAAATGGAGGGTCACTGGACAAAACTATGGTGGAAGTACTTATTCTCTGTAGCCTTGTTATTTTGGAGGCCAATGAATATTAATCATCTTTCTAGGATGGGTGGTATTCCCTAATCAAGCAGTAACATCATTTATTCATGAATGTGAGATGCTAAATTATTTTGAATAATGGCAATTAAGATTTGGAAAAAAATGAATTCAGTATAAGTGTATCTACAGGGTTTCTATCTGGATTTCTTATTTGACCCCAGAGAACCGTTTCTTTGCTTGGAATATATGAAAGTACCCACCTGTAGATGGGCCAAGTGGGCAGGTTCACCAGAAGAATGGGTCTTCTCAGTCTGGGTCAAGCCTTTCTGCTCACCAGCTTGCATCCCAAAAGAAGAGAAGGTGCTTTCTGGATTTTCAGGATCTTACTGAGCCCTGGTCAATTCTAATATGTTAAAGCACACTACCTGTGAAATCCCAAAGGCTTGAAGTTTCTTAGAAGTTTTCTAAAAGTTAATCAAAATTATTTCTTGAATTTTTTATTGGGAGAACATGGAGAGAGGTGGGGATTGCTTTCTGGCATTCTATCACTTCATTTTTGAAATGAAGTACTTCCTGGACTAACTTCAGCACTGCTACAATATTTTTGTGGAGTTTGTAAAATTAACAACATTAAAAAATTCTTCAAAAATATTTTTAAAGTGACCAAAAAAAAAAAATGGACCTAAAACAAAGAGTTGATGGACTTTTCAAATAAAACTTACCTTTTTTTTTTTTGCTTCTGTTGAAGTCCTATGTTGATTCTTCATCAAAAATAGACTTGGTATTGCCACTGACAACACTATGCACACTGGCACCCAAGTCACACATAAACTCTGCAGGCTTACCCTCTAGTGCTTAAAAACAACCAGGGCAATGGTGAACAACGGCCATAAACTGCTGAAACGATAGCCAATGGTACACATATCTACTGCAGCTAAATATCAGTTATCTGGTATTTAATCTCCAGAATACTTGAATTTCCAGAATGGTTCCACAATAAACAGCATCCAGAAAAAAATATGCTGTTTAGTTCCAACTCAAGGTCACTAAGTGCATCTGAGAAGAGGATAACCACAGATAGCACCCGATGGATGGTTGTGATTGGCTAGAGCAATTGTAGGAAAGCTCTACTTTAATTGTCCAGCTACACATTTACAAGCTCAGTGCATCCATCCTAGTGCTGACAGGCCTTAGGAGGGAACAGCAGACAAGAAAGAAGAACACTACAGAAATGAAGTAGGACGATAGCACAGAATAGGATCAGAGGAGATTAAAAGTGGTGTCAGTGGCAACAGTAGCCAACAGAAATTAAAGGCAGCAACAGGGAATGTGATTCAGGCCTCTGAGAGAAGAAGAGAGGAAGCAAAAAGCCCTGAGCTTGAGACAGATAAAAAGCAAAGAGACCAGGAAAAACACAGGCACCACTGGAACATAGTAAGCAGGTTTCCAGAGATATGGAAGAGCAGTCATTTAATCCACAATCTCTTACTAAACACCTACATTCTTAGCAACCAAGAATGCAGAACTGAATAATTTATGCCGCTGCTTCAAGAGACTATAAATTAAGTCATTACATCCTATGGATCTTATCACCTAAATCTGCATCTAGGTCACTCAAAGTTTAAATCAGCAGAGCCAGTCAAGGTACATTTTGGAAAGTTCTCTGAGGAAAAAGTCAAAAAGCAACTGATCCATAACTGTTAACTCTACAGAACAGAGTGACTCATTCTCCATGGGCACTGGCTGGCTATGTTCTTACTCTATCAGTTAATGATAAAAGCCGAGAACTTCCAGGAGTGATGATCAAATTGAACACTCTTGTTCAGGGAGCTAGGAAATACAAAGATACAAAAACCTGTGTTTAAGTAGAAAATGTGGTCCCTTATAAACCAGACAATCATCTGCCAGGGGTTGCTAGGGCCAGGGTAGGTCTATGCAGCTTTAGCCTCTATATTCCATTTTAAATTTTTTAGTTATGTTGCGTCTGTACTAGGGTTAGCATCAGCAGACATCAGACACACAGATATCTGACTGCAAAATTCTGGCTAAATCATTCCCACTTGTTTAACATAAAAACGGATGAAGCATTTATTTTAAAAATTTGTAGAGTTGTAACTGCAAAGGGAGGGCTCATGGCTTTTCATATATTACAACCACATGTTAAGACAATAGACCTCAATAAAAAATTACCTTCAAACACATTTCGTATTTGAGGGATTCGTTTTATCCCTCAGCATTCCAGGTTGGATAGCCCATTGAGCACACATTCCTTGGTAAAACTGAATTTTTTTTGAACTCTGCATTGACCCTAAGTTTAACAGCATTCCAAATTCAGTCTACTTTGCCCACAGAAGATATTGCAGCTAAGCAAAACCCTGTTCCAGAAACCTCATAAACTGTGTGAGCTGCTCAGTTTAGGCCTGAGGGAGTAAATTGAAGAGAGCTGGCCTGTCATGCTGTTTTAGACTGTTTGCCACAGAAATTCAGGATTAGTTCCAGATTGATTAAACTAGTTATGGTGGTGACTATATATATATGTGCCATTATTTTAGTGACCTTTTACAAAATGTTTCCTTTACTCTAGTTCTTGATGCCATGATTTATTTAATATACTTAAAGTAGGTTTGGGGGGCAGGGGGGAGACACAGGGGAGGAAACTGATTGGGTGCCCTTTAAGTACCAAGAGCTTTGCTGGAGATTTCCATATATTTTACAATTCTTTCATTTCACCACTATTCAATGAATGCCTGCTAGGTACTCAGTCTTGAACAAGATTCAAACAATCCCTGTTCTTATAGAGCTTATGATTCACATGACATCAATTACACTGTAAATCAGCTTGATACATACCTGATATCACCTTAGATTGATTTTGAAATCTAATCCCTCTACCAGCTGGCTATGTGACCTCAGTCCAGTTTGTTGATGCCTCAATTTCCTCAATTGTATAATGAATTTTGCCGTGGAAAGTAAGTGAGTTCAAGGAGCACATATAGAAGGTCTTTCACCAGGCCTGGTACGCAACTGGGGGTCATCTTCCTTCCTTCCTCACACTAGAATCCAGTGGGATTTCTATTTGATTTGTAGATTTGAGTAGCTGTTCGCACCCTTGTAATACTTACAACCACCAGGGGGCAGTAGAAAAATATGCTCTACCAGTCCCAAGGGGGACAATGTGGCCACTCTCATAGGTACACAGCTAAAAACAAATTTCATTGTTGGGCTTGCTCATAAATACACAAGTGAAGAAACAAACAATCATTTAGAAAAACAGCAATGAAATCAAAAATAAAAATATTAATATTTATTTATTCAGTAAATCTATATAGCAAGTCTGTTCTTTATGGGACCAGCCTTTGAACATTAAAATAGTGCCTGTCCCATTGGGTGGTACGAAGACTAAATAAGTTGCAACTGACAAATGGGAAGCACCTAAAAACTATTTGTCGTTATTATCTTGTGGAGGATATATTTTTAGATTAGCTACAAGAGAAAAGTAGTACTGCTTATCACCTGCAGAAACCTCTAAAAGCTTTTGACTATTCCTGCCAATCTCTCTCTCACCTTTTTCTGATTAATCATTTCCATTTGTTTTCCAATAACATAGATGTGTTAATTCCAATGACTCAAACCAATTGGAAAAAAAATAAAGCTAATAACATGGAATCTAAATGTGCCACATCTAAAAATTTTCAAAGGACTCGCTTGGATGGTTGAAAGAAATGTTATGTCTTATTAAAATACGCCTTGCTCATTAAAATAATTCAAAAAGTGCTCTATTGGGTTTTAAATGAGAAATGTTCTATTACAAATAGAAGTATTGGAATGAACTATTACCAATCTTACATTTTGTTCTTTTGATTCTTTAACCTGTAGTACATGAATTGTGAACGCATGATTATATCCGTGTTCATGTCAAAGACGGTTGTAAAAATCTGGAGTGATAAAGAAGGATGGACATCCATAAATATAAAATCCCAAGCCACCATTATCCAGTATCTATAGTATAGTGCATGAAGGTGACAAAGTCATTTACAGGATTAAATACATTAACAAAGTATTCTAAAAGCTTACAAATCATCCACTTTATTTTTTTTTATTTGAATACTGTTGTAGAAATATTTGCCTATAGCCACTGACAATATTTTTAATGATGACTCTCATTGCAAACTATGTGTCAGCATCAGTGGATTATTGTTCAGCCTTAGCATAGAAAAGAATAAGAATCCCCTAATGGCAATGTATCATGTTCAGTTACCTTGAGGCAAGAAAATATTAAAACTGTATGAAGATAAGGAATTAAAACTAGATGTAGACTTTAAAAATATATCTGAAAACAGATAGGCCTCTATTCTACTATAAAAAAATTGCCACAATAAGAGGGTTGTCAGATACAGAACACTCATGCAATATTTAGAGCATGCCTACACTAAAAAATTATTTGTTGTTTATCTGAAATCCACATTTTACTGGATATCCTCTATTTTGTTTGCTAAATTTGTCAAACCTACACCTGAAGCCCTCCATGCACACATAACCCAGAACCTTCTCTTTTGAAGATAAATCTGGAGAAAGGTTCACCTGAATAGGCAGTTGTTTAGTCAGGTAGCAGCCTTTGAAATTTGTCAGGTCTCCACCTATCCAGCAAAGCAGAAAACCCAGAGAGACTGCTGCATCCACTCTTCCATTTCTGTAGGCTACAAAGAGCTGACTGGAAAGTGACAATTGACAAATAAACACTTGGAGCACAGAACTTAATGTTCTCAACACTAGATAAAAACAAACTGATGATGTACAGCAATAAAACATCTCATTCACTTCCAGTTAAGCCTCTAGGACTCTTTTTAACCTGTCTTCATTCACAGCACACAGCAAACATATCTAAAACCTAAAAGATGCTCAGTGACAATACTAAAACATTAATGCTTCTTATTTCTGCCTTTTCTTTTATTATTTCTATCGAAATTTATATATATGTCCAAAGTACATGTTTATTCGTTCTTGGCCTCATAATGGGGGGAGATATTAAGTCATATAATTAGAGAGACTAGATATATTACTAAAACATAAGCATAGGGGTTCAAAATGTGTATCAGTGATTACATTTTCAGTCAGCATCTTTTTTTCTTTAAATTTACTTCTAATCATGTTGCCCATATGCAGGTGGACAAATGGAGACATTAATGTGAAAATCTATTTGGCTCCCTACAATGCCACCTCTTGTGTGGAAAAGTTTTTTAAAATCTTGGGTCCTGGGATTCAAAAGACCTAAAAACATGACATCACCTGTGGAACATTAGACAATTATTTAACCTCTCAGAGTCTCACTTTCGATATCCAAAAAGTAAGATTAACTTTTTAAACCAAAAGTGTTTATTTCAAGAAGTTGACCAAGGTTTAAATGGGGTGGCCCCACTTGAGACTAAATGATGACCATAAGCCACCGGTGGTAGCACTGGGAATCAGCCTAAAGTTGCTGACCCCAAGTTTATAATTTTTCACTACCATGTATACTACCTAAAAGTTAATATTCTCAGAATTCACATTCAAGACCATAATCCCACTCACGTCAATGCCAAGTTATTCCTCTATTAAATGGTGATGAATGGTATGTATACCGATGTGATTTTCAAAATACTTTTTATGTTTCAGATTTCCAAAGCATCTGAGGACTGACTGTATTCTGTACCTTTTCCCAATATTTTATAAACAGATGACCTATGTAGGCACACATATTTTACAGTTCCTATGATGCAGCTCTCTTTTGCTTGAGATTTTTTTTCTAGGGTAGGTAAGGTTGGTGTCTGACTTCTAATTATAAATAAACTCAGCAAAAATGGAAAACATTCTCCTGTAGCCTAAACTGCTGTTTTTTTTGGAAAATTATCCCATGCCCACAAGAAAAGAATTGCATAATGCCATATCTCACCAAAAATATTTAAATTTTTACTCTTATCAAAGAACATACTGAAAAGGAATTCAATATAGGATGGTGAAGAAGTAAGGTACATATGCTTTATTGCCTTTTGATTACTAAATATAAAAGATTTGTATATCTTAATTAAGAAAAAAGTAGTCAGCATAATGTATCACCAACTGCGCTATTATATTCCAAAATGTTTTAGAGTGATGCTTTTTAGCACCTTCAAAATATACAACGCAAAGAGAACATTTGTTCAATAGCAAGCCCAAATAGTTTGAAAAAATACTTAATATATATAGTGATTCCTCAAGGATCTAGAATTAGAAATACTGTTTGACACAGCAATCCCATAACTGGGTATATACCCAAAGGATCATAAATCATTCTATTATAAAGACACCTGCACAAGTATATTTATTGTGGCACTGTTCACAATAGCAAAGACTTGGAACCAACCCAAATATTCATGAATGATAGACTAGATAAAGAGAATGTGGAACGCATGCATCATGGAATACTATGCAGCCATAAAAAAGGATGAGTTCATGTTCTTTGCAGCAACTGGATAAAGCTGGAAACCATCATTCTTAGCAAACTGACACAAGAACAGAAAACCAAACACCACATATTCTCACTCATAAATGGGGTTTGAATAATGAGAATACATGGACACAGGAAAGGGAACGTCACACACCAGGGTCTGTTGGTGGGTGGGAGGCTAGGGGAGGGATAGCAGAGGGTGGGGGAATCAGGGAGGGATAGCATTAGGAGAAATACCTAATGTAGATGATGGGGTGATGGATGCCCCAAACCACCATGGCACATGTACACCTATGTAACAAACCTGCACATTCTGAACATGTACCCCAGAACTTAAAGAGGAATAATAAAAAGAAAAGATATTTAATATGTAAAAACATTTAAATATTTTTAAAATAAGAAATTATGAACAACAGTATTATACTATAGACTTGTAATCCAAGATTCTTAACTTACAGTAGAACAACAAACAGAAAACAGACAATAGAAACCGATTCTATAACCATTCTCCAGTATTCTCAGGAATTGGATACGTATCTTGCAGGAGATGCCGAATCCATAAGGTCCTAGTCACACAGATCTTCCTGTCCTCTACTAAGGAGATACACAGTTGCACCTGTGATTCTATAATTAAAGTCTGGATGATTGATGGTGCTGGTTCTTGGAAAATGCAATTTAATGTCAGAATGAACTCTTTCCTTTTAAAATACTACTTTGATTCATACTGAAGTTAGGCTACAAATTGTTTCCAAATCTTTACAAATTAAATTTAAAAAATAAATATTGTGTAATGTTTTTCTTAGAAAATATTGTTCAAAGAAATTAAAGAAGACCTAAATCAATGAGAAGATATTCCATATTCATGAATTGGGAGACTTAATATTGTAAAGATGGCAAAATTATCCAAAGTAATCTACAGATTTGGCCAGGTGCAGTGGCTCATGCCTGTAATCCCAGCACTTTGGGAGGCTGAGGCAGGTGGATCATGAGGTGAAGAGATCAGGACCATCCTGGAGAAACCCCATCTCTACTAAACATACAAAAATTAGCTGGGTGTGGTGACACACACTTGTAATCCCAGTTACTCCGGAGGCTGAGGCAGGAGAATCACTTGAACCCAGGAGGCAGAAGTCACAGTGAGCCGAGATTATGCCACTGCACTACAGTCTGGTGACAGAGCAAGACTCCATCTCAAAAAATAATAATAATAATAATAATAATCTACAGATTTAATGCAGTTCTTATCAAAATTCCAACTGATCTTTTACAAAACTGCACAAGTTGATATTAAAATTCATATGGAATTGTTAAAATACCAAATAGTCTAAACAACTCAGAATAAAAAGAATAAAGTTAGAGAATTACTACTTTATAATTTCAAAACGTGTGACAAAGACAGTAATCAAAACAGTGTGGTAATGGTATTAGAAAAGACATACAGATAAACAGAATAGAATGGAGCATCCAAAAGTAAAATCATACATCCATAGTCAATTGATTTTGACAAGGGAGCCAAGACCATTCAATAAGGAAAGAATACTTTTTACAACAAACAGCAGTGGGACAACTGGATATCTACATGTAAAAGAAGGAAGTTGAATTCTTATCTCACACTAATCACATTATGTATTTGAAAATTAATTCAAAATAGATAAAAAGCTTAAATTTGAGAATCTATAAAACTATAAAATCTAGAAAACATAGGGGTAGGTAAGTATGAGCTTTGATTTGGCAACAGATTTTTAGACTGATCCCAAAAGCACAAGCAACAAGAGAAAATATAAATTAACTTCATCAAAATTTAGAAACATTTGTGCGTCAGAGAACATTATAAAGAAAAGTGAAGAGACAGCCCACAGGATGAATAAGACCTAGTAATTGATAGCACAACAGAGTGGCTATAGTCAATAATAATTTAACTGTACATTTTGTAATAACTAAAATAGCATAATTGGATTGTTTATACATAAATGATAAATGCTTGAGGATATGAATATCTCATTTTTCAGGATGTGATTATTATGTTTTACATTCCTATTATCAAAGTATCTCATGTACCCCAGAAACATATACATCAATTTTGTACATCAATTCAGTAAAAAAAAAATTAAAAATTAAAATAAAATTACACTGAGACACAGTATGATTGTCAAAAGTCAAAGGCAAAGTATGAGTTTTGAAAGCAGCAAGAGAAAAGAGTCATGTACAAGGGAAACATCATGAGACTATCAGTGAATTTCTCAACAGAAACCTTGCAAGCCAGAAGGAAGTGGGATGATATATTCAAAGTACTAAAAGGTTAAAACTTTCAACTACCAATACTCTGTCTGACAAAGGTGTCCTTCAGAAATGAAGGAGAAATAAAGACTTTACCAGATAAACAAAAGTGGAAAGAATCACCATTAGACCTGCCTCACAAGAAACACTAAGACGAGTCTTTCAAGCTGAAATAAAACAATGCTAAAAAGCATCATAAATATGGAAGTATAATACTCATGGGAAGAGGTAAATTTACAGACATATGCAGAATACTGAAATACTGTAATGATGGTGCATAAATAACATTTAACTCTGGTATTTAATTTAAAAGTAAGAAAAATAAATGTAACTATTAAATGTTAATAGATACACAATATAAAAAGATGCACTTTGTGAAATCAATAACATAAAGTGTGTGGGGTAGTAGATGTAAGAGAATACAGCATTTGTATGCAATGAATGTTAAGGTTGTTACCAACTTAAAATACATTGTCATAAATATAAGATAGTTAATGTAAGTCCCATGGTAATCACAAAGAAAACATCTATTAAAAAATATAGAAGAGAAAAGAATCAAAACCTGCCATTCAAAAAATAAAATCAATAAAACACAAAGGAAGATAGAGAGGAAAAAGGGGACAAAAATCTACAAGATAAATATAAAATAATTAATCTAATGTTAATAATAAGTACTTTATTATCAGCAATTACTTTAAGTATATATGGATTAAACTCCTCAAATAAGCTGTAAAGTGGCTGAATGGATTTTGAAAAAAGAGTTAACTATATGCTGTCTATAAGAGACTAATTTTAGATTTAAGGACATGCATAGACTGAAAGTAAAAGGATGGAAAAAGACATTCTGTTTAAATGGTAATTGAAAAAGACCAGATGTGGCCAATAGTTATGCCAGATAAAATAGGATTTAAGTCAAAACCTGTCATAAGCAACAAAGAAGAACATTATATAATGACAAAAGGATCAATTAACCAAGAAAATACAACAATTGTATAAGCACCCAAATCAGAGCACCTACTGGCATACTGCCTAGTTGAGCTGTGAAAAGGGGGCCACTATCTACCAGATCCCAGAATGGTAGATCCACTGACAGTTTGCACCATTCGCCTGGAAAAGCCACAGACATTCAATGTCAGCCCATGAAAACAGATGGGAGGGAGGCTGTACCCTGCAAAGCCACAGAGGCAGAACTGCGCAAATCCATGGGAACCCACTTCTTGCATCACTGACCTGAATGTGAGACCTGGAGTCAAAGGAGATAATTTTGGAGCTTTAATATCCATCTGCCCTGCTAGATTTCAGACTTGCATTGACCCTGTAACCACTTTGTTTGGCCAATTTCTCCCATTTGGAACAGCTGCATTTACCCAATAACTATATCCCCATTGTATCTAGGAAGTAACTATCTTGCTCTTGATTTTACAGGTTCATAGGCAGAAAGGATTTGCCTTGTCTCAGATGGAATTTTGGACTGTGAACTTTTAGGTTAATGCTGAAATGAGTTAAGACTTTGGGTGACTGTTGGGAAGGCATGATTGGTATTGAAATGTGAGAACATGAAATTGTGGATGGGGCCAGGGTGGAATGATATGGTTTGACTCTGTGTCCCCACCCAAATCTCATCTTGAATTGTACTCCCATAATTCCACCATTTGTGGGAGGGATCCAGTGGGAGATCATTTGAATCATGGGGCGGTTTCCCCATACTGTTCTCGTGGTAGCGAATAAGTCTCACAAGATCAGATGGGTTTATCAGGGGTTTCTGCTTTTGCATCTTCCTCATTTTCTCTTGCTGCCACCATGTAAGAAGTGCCTTTCACCTCCCGCCATGATTCTGAGGCCTCCCCAGCCATGTGGAACTGTAAGTACAATTAAACCTCTTTTTTTTTTTCCGGTCTCAGGTATGTCTTTATCAGCAGTGTGAAAAAGGACTAATACAAACATGGTAAAAACAAAGTTAAAAGTAAGATTTTGTAAAAAGTATACTATAAAATACAAATAACAAGAAAACTAAGCTGGCTATAATATTCAGAAAAAGTAGACTTCAGAACAATATGATTAAAGGAAAAAAAGAGACATATTATAATGATAAAGAAGTCAACCCCTCAAGAAGACATAGCAATACTAAATGCCTATGCACCTAATATAGAAATATATGAAGCAAAAATGACTGAATTAAAAAGGAAAATAAGATAAATCTAGGACTATATTCAGGATTTCAATTTTTTTCTCTCAGTGATTGATAGAATAGTGCTATTAGCTAGCTAACTTCTTATTGACTCAGCAAGGATTGTTATGTCTTCTTAATGAACAGTAGAGAGGGCACAAATAACCCTATCAACCAGCTGATCTAATTGATATTTATCAAACATTGCACACATTATAATGTTTAGAGGATATACTCATTTCAAGTAAATGGAACATTCATCAAGAGAAATCACATGATAGGCCATAAAACTAGTTTCAATAAATTTAAAGTATCATAATAATACAGATTATGTGTTTTGGTCACAACAAAAATAAATGAGAAACCAATTTTAAAAAAAGATAATTGGGACATCTGCTTTCAACAGTGACAAGCTGGGATTACATTCACCTTCTTGCCTGAAATCACAAAATGAACAAAATATATTAAACAATGATTTAGTGGCATTAAACATCAGTCAATGAAGAACAGAGAATACTAAGATACATGAAACAAAGGAGATGAATGAATCCTATGATTACCCTAACTTACTGCCTGGAGAGAGTCTTAAGGTTGTGTTACAAATACTGGAAAGCTTGTGTAGAAAGAACTGGGAGTTCAGGGAGGCCACAGGGCTAGAGTTTGCAGATAGAGTACCAGTGAGGATAGAACTGCACAAAGAGATAACTCTGGATAGTCCCTCTGAAAACATCAACTAAATACTAATAAGTATATCCATGTAAGGGAACTACCTAAGACCAAGAGGAAAAATATCCTAAAAGATTAGAAGGAAAAAATCTCTGGATGTCCAGCAGAGCCAAGACTAGTGCCTGTTTTAACTATTCAGACTGGAAAACCTAACAATTCACAACACATTGGGTAGAATACTAAGAGAAGTTTTGCCTGAATAGGAGGCAAAATTAGGCCCATAAAAAACACTGCTCCCTGTAACATCAGGAACAAGGTGAGGAAGTCTGGTCTTACCACTTTTATTTAACCTGGTAACAGAGGTTGGCACAGTGCAATAATGCAATAAAAAGAAATTAAAGGCAAATAGAATGTAAAGGAAAATGTAAACTATCTTTGACAACAGACAATGGGTTTGTTTCTCTGTAAAGGAAAACATAAATTCCCTTTATCATATTAGTTTGAAAGGCCTGCCTGGGGGAGAAAAAGAAGCAGGTGAAAGGCAGGCAGGAAGTCAGAGAGATATTCTGTTTTCTGAAGACAACTTCTGAGGCCTAAAGTGCCCCAAAATTATAACAAGGGCTATGGGAGTTATGAAGCAGAAACCACAGATAAAAACTAATGTATATAATCATAATATCATACTTCTAAGACAGGTCAAGTACCCTCTGGACCTATCAGTGCTTGAGTTTGCAGCATTGGCTCTATTGTTTCCCACGACCTTTAGAACATGGCCATAGTTTCTATAGCATGAATGTAGAAGACTCTGTAAGGAAGGCATCATTTTCAAAATGGGAAGCATGGATCTCTGTGTCTTAGTTAACTGGCCCAGTATGAATCTCTGGCCTCCTATTCATCTTATTTACTGAAAATCTTTTTTTTTTTTTTTTTTGAGATGGAGTTTCGCTCTTGTTACACAGGCTGGAGTGCAATGGCGCAATCTCGGCTCACTTCAACCTCCGCCTCCTGGGTTCAGGCAATTCTCCTGCCTCAGCCTCCTGAGTAGCTGGGATTACAGGCACGTGCCACCATGCCCAGCTAATTTTTTGTATTTTTAGTAGAGTCGGGGTTTCACCATGTTGACCAGGATGGTCTCGATCTCTTGACCTCGTGATCCACCCGCCTCGGCCTCCCAAAGTTCAAAATCTTTTTAAATCTTACCTTGCTTACTTGTTGAAGGAGTACAATCAGTGATCTCAAAGGCAAGCTGTTTGAACATGCACAGAGGAGAAAAAAGAAAAAAGAATGAAAGGAATGAAGATTGCCTACAAGATATGGAAAGTTACTTCAAAAGGCCAAATCTAAGAATTATTGGTGTTCAAGAGGGCGTTGAGCAAGAGTAAGGGGTAGAAAGCTTACTTAAAGAAATAATGACAGAAAACTTCCCAAAACTTGAGAAAGATGCAATCATTAAGGTACGGGAAGGTCAGAGAACACCAGATTTGACCCAAGTAAGACCATCCCAAGGCATATAATAATCAAACTCTCAAAGTCAAAGACAAAGGGAGAATCCTAAAAGCAGCAAGAGAAATGAAGCAAATAACATATAAAGGAATTCCAATTAGTCTTGCAACAGACGTTTCAACAGAAACCTTGCAGGATGGGAAAGAGTAGGACAAGATTTTCAAAGTTGAAAGAAAATAACTGCTATCTGAACACCCAGCAAAGCTGTCCTTCAAATATGAAGCAGAGATAAAGTTTCTTCTCTCAGGTAAATAAAAGCCAAAAGAATTCACCATTATCAGAATTGATTTACAGAAATGCTAAAGAAAGGTTTTCAATCTGAAATAAAAAAATAATAACATGCAAAAAGAAAACAATGGAAGGTATAAAACTCATTGCTAAAATTAAGTATAAAGACTACTCAAAAAAAAAAACCCAATACTGCAATTTCAATGTAAAATCTGCTCAAGCCCAAAAGATAAATCTATCAAAAATGAGAATAGCTAAAGCAGCTGATTAAGATATGGGCAACATTAAAACATGTCAACAAAGACAACAAAATGTCAAAATGGGGAGGAAGGATGGAGTTAAAGTGTAGTTTTTTTTGTTTGTTTGTTCAGTTTTTTAGTTTTTTCCTTCTTTCTTTGCATTCTTCCCTTGTGATCTAAAATAAGTTGTCATTTCTTTAAATAACTTGTAATATCTAAAAGATGTCTTTTGTGAGTTTTGCAGTAACCACAGTGCAAAAACCTGTCATAGATACACTAAAATTAAAAAGTGATGAATTAAAACATACCCGCAGAGAAAATATCCTAACCACAAAAGGAAAACAGTAAGAAAGGAAGAAAGGAGTTACAAAACAGCAAGAAAACAAGAAACAGAATGGCAGTAGTAAGTCCAGCCATTCTGTTTCTTGTCCATAATAACAAGGATGTAAATGGACTCAATCTTCCAATTAAAAGACATAGAGTAGCTGAATGGATAAAGAAACAAGACCCAACTACATGCTGCCAAAAGAAACCCACCTCACCTATAAAGATACATATAAACTGAAAGTGAAGGGGTGGAAAAAGATAAACCAAAAAAAGATCAAGAACAGCGATATTTATAACAGATAAAATAGACTGCTAGTCAAAAACTGTAAAAAGAGAAAGAAGGTCAATATATAATGATAAAGGGGTCAATTCAGCAAGAGGATATAACAACTATAAATATCTATGCACCCAACATTGGAGCACCCAAGCATATAAAGCAAACAGTGGATCTAAAGGGAGAGATAGATTGCTGCACAGTAATAGTAGGGGACTTCAACACTGCACTCAGTAGTGAACAGATCAACCAAACAAAAAGCCAACAATGAATCATCAGAGTTTAGCTATACTCAAGACCTGATAGACCTATGTGACATTCAAAGAACACTTCACTGATCAACTATAGAACACATTCTTTTAATCAGCACATGGAACATTCTCCAGAATATAATATATCATAGGTCACAAAACGAGTCTCAAAAAATTCAAATAAGAAGAAATCATATCAAATATCTTTTCTTACCGCAATGGAATAAAACTAGAAATCAATAACAAGAGGAATCTTGGAAACTACACAAACACATAGAAATTAAAAACATTCTCCTTGATCAACCAATAAGTCAAGGAAGAAATTAAGAAGGAAATTAAAAAGTTTCTTGAAACAAATAAGAATGTAAATACAACACACCAAAATCTATGTAATATAGAAAAGGCAATACTAAGAAGGAAGTTTACATTAATAAACAACTACATCCAAAAAGTAAAAATATTTCAAATAATCAACTTTATGATGCACCTCAAGGAAGCAGAAAAACAAGAACTAATCAAACCCAAAATTAGTAGTAGGAAAGACATAATCAGAACAGATATAAATGAATTTGATATTTTAAAAAATACAAATCAATGAAATAAAAGTTTTTTTTTAAAAAAAGATAAGCTAAATTGGCAAACTTTTAGCTAAACTAACTAAAAAAACATAGGGAAGACCCAAATAAACAAATTCAGAAATTAAAAAAGATACATAACAACTGAGACCACAAGGATAATTAGCAACTACTATGAACAACTATCCACCAACAAATTGGAAAACCTGGAAGAAACTGATAACTTTTTGGATATATATAATCTACCAAGACTGAACCATGAAGAAACAGAAATCTCCAACAAACCAATAATGAGAAATGAGATCAAAACTATAAGAAAAATTCTCCTATCAAAGAAGAGCCCAGGATGCAATAATTTCACTGCTGAATTCTACCAAATTTTCCTCAAATTCTTCAAAAATACTGGAGAAGAGAAAATACTTCAAACTCATTGTATGAATCGAGTATTATCCTGATACCAAAACCAGACAAGGACACAACGAAAAAAAAGAGAGAAGAAAACTACAGGTCAAGATCACTGATGAACACAGATGCAAAAAAACAAACAAAATTAAACTAAGCTAAAAAAGCTCAATAAAATACTAGCAAACTGAATTTAACAACACATTAAAAAGATAATTCATCATGGTCAAGTGGGATTCATCCCAGGGGTGAAAGGATGGTTCAACATACACCAGTCAACAAATGTAATACACCACATTAACAGAACCAAGAGCAAAAACCATATGATCATTTTAATAGATGCTAAAAAAGCATTCAATAAAATTCAACATCCTATTATGATAAAAAGCCTCAACAAACTGGGTATAGAAGAAATTACCTCAAAATAATACAGGCCATATATGACAAACTCACAGCCAAAATCATAGTGAATGGGGAAAAAGTGAAAGTCTTCTTTCTGAGATCTGGAACAAGACGAGGATGCCCACTTTTACCACTTTTATTCAATATAGTACTGGAAGTCCTACACAGAGCAATTAAGCAAGAGAAATAAGCGGCACCCAAATGGTCAAGAAAGAAGTCAAATTAGGCTTGTTCACACACGACAGGATCTTATACCTAGAAAAACCTAAAGATTATATCATAAAAACTGAGCTGATAAATGAATTAGCTAAAGTTGCAAATCCAAAATCAACATACAAAAATCAGTAGCATTTATATATGTTAATGGCAAACAATCTGAAAGTAATTTCTTTAAAAAATCCCATTTACAGTAGTTACAAATAATTTAAAATACCTAGGAATCAATTTAACCAAAGATGTGAAAGATCTTTACAAAAAAATTAACTATAAAACACTGATAAAGTGAAGAGGACACACACACACACACACACACACACACACACAGAAAAGAGATTACATTCTCATGGATTGAAAGAACAAATATTGTTAAAATAAAAATACTACCCTGAGCAGTTTACAGATTCTATGCAATCCTCATCAAAATGCCAATAACATTCTTCACAGAAATAGAAAAAACAATCCTAAAATTTGTGTGGAATCATTAAAGACCCCAATAGAGAAAGCAGTCCTGAACAAGAGAACAAAGCTGGCGGCAACACCCTATGTTACTTCAAAATACACTACAAACCTACAGTAATGAAATCAGCATGGTACAGACATCAAACACATTAACCAATGGAACAGAATATGGAACCCAGATATAACTCCATACACTTACAGCCAACTCATTTTTGACAAAGTTGCCAAGAATGCGCAACAGGAAAGTTTAGTCTGTTCAATAAATGGTCCTGAGAAACTGGATAAACACAAGCAGAAGAATGTAAATTAGTGCATTTCCACTATGGAAAATAGTATGGAGGTTCCTCAGAAAACTAAAAACAGAAGTATTATAGGATCCAGCATTCCACTATTGGGTTTATATCTGTAGTCCCATGTTTACTGCAGTAGTACTCACAGTAGCCAAAATATGAAGCACGCATCAATAGATAAATGAATAAAGAAAATCCCAGCTGGATGTGGCGGCATGCATCTGTAATCACAGCACTTTAGAAAGCCCAAGTGGGAGGATTCCTGGAGCCCAGGAGTTTGAGATCAGCCTGGACAACATAGTGAGATCCCTTTTCTACAGTTTTTCTTTTTAATTAGCTGGGTATGGTGGGCATGCACCTGTAGTCCCAGCTACTGAGGAGGCCAAGGCAGGAGGACCACTTGAGTCCAGGAGGTTGAAGCTGCAGTGAGCTGTGATTGCACCACTGCACTCCAGCCTGTGTGGCAGAGTAGGACCCTGTCTCAACAACAACAACAACGACAACAAAAGTATCGTAACTATAGGTAATGAATATTATTCCTCCATAAAGAAGAATGAAATCCTGTTATTTGCAGCAACATGAATGGAACTAGAGGTCCTTCTGTAGAGAGAAATAAGCAAGGCACAGAAAGACAAATATTGCATGTACTCA